TTTTTTTTTTTTTTTTAAAAAACTTTATAAGTTAAACTCCTTCTTAGAGTGGAATCTCATAGTTATTTGAATCGGAATTTACCGGTCAATTCTGAGGCTTCTTTATTTGGGAGAGGCTTAAAAAAAAAAAAAAAAAATTTATAATTCTTTTATAAGATTCCGTAAAAAAAAAAAAAAAATTTGCAATTTCTTGCATAGCCCCAAATCAAAATTAGTTTATTTTAAACTATTTATCTGGTTATGATTAGCGATTATAGCGAACTAATTTGATAATTTATTATAATTAGTAATTCATACAAGGCTAAAAAAACTTTTTATTTTATCTGTACGTTTAACGCCCTGCATTATTATAATATGACCCCCAAAAGAATTCCCAATTTGATTTCTCCCACCCCCCTTTTTTTTTATTATTATTATTTTGGAATCTCGGATTTCAAATTCCTTTGAAAGATAACACTAGATACTTCTAATTCTTATGTAATCACCTGATAAAGAAAATCTTATCATCCGCAGTAATTTGCAATTTATAAGAAAGAATTGAACTTTTTTCTCACGAAAAATATAAAAATGTTCATTAATTATTATTATTTTTTTTTTTTGATAAGGATAAAAATAAGGTTATTTGATATCATTTCGCCATTTTGCTTAATACAGGTTTATTTTCTTCCCTTTCTTGAGTAAATCTTTTTGTAAAACATCTAAAACCAACTTTTTTATAGTTTTTCTCAATCCGAAAAAATGATTTGACCAATTAAAGTCTTTTGTGTTAGGTAAAGTGAATACCCTCGTGTCAGGTAAAGTTTTAAACTTTAATTTTATTTTATTTACAACATTTTCATTGGATAATAAATGAACTAAAATTAATTTGTTTGTATTTACTTTCTTATCCAAAGAAAATTAAATAATTATTTTACAAAAAGAATAATACAAAAATTAACAAAATTAAAAAAAAGGGTTAGATATTATGTTGTATTTGTTTCATTCCCCCCTTCCTCCATTTTCTTATCTAATAAAACTTTATCTTCAACAGTAATCTTTGCTTCACTTCCCCCTTCTTCTGTTTTATCTTCTGACAAAACAATGTTACTCGTTTCATTTCCCCCTTCTTCTATTTTAACGTCGGATAAACCGGTATTAATCGTTTCACTTTTCCCTTCTTCTATTTTAACGTCGGATAAACCGGTATTAATCGTTTCACTTTTCCCTTCTAATTTTTTATCTTCTTCGGATAACCCGGTATTAATTGTTTCACCTTTCTCTTCTTCTACTTTTTTTCCTTCTACTTTATCAGCTTCTGAATCATCAACAGTTACTTCAGGTATTACTTCAGATATCATACTTAATTCTCTAGGATGAGATTCACCATCATCTATCTTAGGACTAGTAGATCTTACAGGTAATGACGATGTGGAATTAGTGGAATTATTACCATTACCATTACTATTATCATTACCATTACCACTGTCATTACCATTACCATTACCATTACCACCATCACCACCATTACCGTTATCATTACCATTACCATTACCATTTCCCTCAATGGTAACACCTTCCCTAACTTCATCTAAAGTAATATCAAGTACCGTATTATTATTGCTTACATTTTCTTCTAATGAATCATAAGGAGGGGGTAATTCTCCTGGAGGGAAAAAGAATTGTGCTATACTATTAACAATTCCATTGGAAGAAGAAGGAGGACGTTCTTCATCTACAACGCTATAAGGGGGTAAAGTTCTAATACTGTTTGATCTATTTAAAGAAGCACCACGATTCAATATAGAAGTACCCCTTCTTAATCTACCACCTGCAGTACTTATGGTAATGATTTCTCCAGTTTCTGGATCAATTTCCCTACGTAAGTAATGTGTATCATCTTCATTATTATCACGTTTTTTAAACATTTTACGAGCGTATCCATATATTGCCATTGAAGCAAATAATATTACTAAAATTATAATTATAACAACCATCGATCCTGAAGAATTTTTCGGATCATCAATATTATCACTATTATTACCACTTTTAACATTAACATCATCTCCTTGTATTACATTAAAACTTCTACTACCTTTTAATTGATTATAAGCTATAAATCCATCATTTATACAAGTCGTATTTGTAACTGTGATATTACCATCAGCAGGTTGGTTTATTGTCGTTAACCCACATAATTGAGTCAAACATTGATTTGATGAAACACAATTTGCTCTTTGTGTATTTGTATTAATCTTTTTTCTACATTTATTATTATCACAATATAATTGTTGTAAAGATATATCAGTCGCTGATATTACTATATTACTACAACTACCAATAAAATCCAATGGTCTAACAAAACTACCCGGAGGAATTGGATTAGTAAGATTCCAATTTTGATAAAAAAATGTCAATAACCAACTTTTATTTTCATCTGACCATAAATTGTAGTCAAACATTTCACAAGGATCTCTTTGTTTTCTACCAATAGTACTTCCAATATATTCTATCGGGGGAAACACTGCGGAATTTAATTTCCAACTATAAGTTGTAATATTACTATTAACATTACCACATATTGGACCTTCTGGTGCTGCAAAACATACTTGAGAATTATAACAATAATTTCTCACTCCACAATCAATAGTCAGTGAATTATTATTATTTACAGTAGAATTATTATCAGACATAATGCTTTTAAAGATATAAATGTGTACGTTATTTTGTTATTTTTAAAAATATATATATATGAATATATGAGTGTTTACGTATATATTTTATATCGTTTTGTAAAAAAAAAAAAAAATCGCAAATAAAAAGAGAAAAAAAAGAATTTTGATTTTTTTGCAAAAGAGAGAAACGTTAAAACGTTTCTATTATTACCCGTATAAATATCCATTTGCAGATCATCTATTCCTTTTATAGATTTGACATTCAAGTATATATAGATTCAACTTTTTTGATTTACTATTTTATTAAATTACTATGCTTTATTTGGTAATAATTTAAAAAGAATCAATTTTCCATTTTTAATTACTAAATTATTGTAAAACGATTCCTTATAATATCGTTTTACCAAATAGTACAGAGATCTTCCTTGCATCATCAAATTTCCTTGGCAATTAACGTTACAATGGGAAATTTATGTTTTTTTTATGAACAAAAGTGAAAAAAATCTTCTGATTTACTTTTTTTAAAAATTTCAATAATTCTTTTTCGAAAAAAAATTTTAATAAAAAGATTTTTTTTTTTTTTTTACAACTTGTTTCATAATTTAAAACTAAAAAAAATTCAAAACTTAGCCAATTCCCAAATTCAATTATATCCAACCTTTTTACCCTCGCCACATCAACCGATAGATCGCTAAGCCCCCCTTAATTAATTATTCTTGTATATCTTTTTTTTTATTTCTATTCTTGTTTTAATTCGTGAAAAAATATATAAATCTTTTTTGATTTTTTTTTCCTTTTTTCTCACTTAATATGTATCAATCGTCACATGATGGCTTATTTAGTCATTGATTTTTGATAAACAAATCAATTTTTTTTAGGCTGAAACAAATCTTATTTATCCGGAAATTTAAGAAAATTTTACGTTTCATACGTACAGTTGATAACAGTATTATGCATATTACATTAGAAATTACAATTTAGTAATTTTTTAAATATTTATTTTATAATTTATTATAATTAATTATATTTATTATAATAAGTTATAATATAAAACGTTTCAAAGAAATCAATTTTTTTTGTGTAATAAAACTTGACAATATGAAAAAATATAGATAGATAATGTTTATATACAATATATACAATATAATCTTGGCAAAATGTTTTTCACTATCTGTGTATTTTTTTTTATTTTTTATTTATTTTATTTATTTTTTTTTTTTTCGTTCGGAATTATCATTTTTTTTTCGGACAAAAAATATAATATAATAAAATATAAATTTAAATATAAATAAATAAATAAATAATAATTATGGAATAATTATAGTATGTAGTACATATCTATTATATCTATTATGTTCATTAACATTACATAATACAAACATAATATTATCATAGAATATTCCTTAGTTTCCCAAATGTTTCATACAAAATGTCCTAAAATTTTTTTTTTTAATAATAATAATAATAATTGAAATAATGTTTACTTAAAAAAGATCTTATATTCTTATTGGTCCTTTATTTCAGATTGAATGAGGAAAATTTTAATAAAAGAAAGAAAAAAAAAAAAAATTTTTTTTCCTTAACCCGTTTATAGTTAAGATGTGACTTATTATTATAATTATTATATCTTCAAAAATGGATTCCCATAGAATTTCCATGGATTTTCCTTTTTTTTTATACTGCTTTTGGGTAATAAAATAAGGTCTCGTTTAAAAAAGTTCATCTGATCGGTAACAATTATAAAAAAAAATTGATTTTTTTGATTTTTTTTTTTTTTTTCAAACGACGAATATAATCATACATACATATGATACATACATATGCCAAATTGCCAAACTTGCTTGCGTTACTATTGATACTTAAGCCCTCGGCCGGCTGTGAGACTGATTTGTTTGAACTTAAATTACGAAATAATACTCTTTGAGTAGTAAAGGGTAAGATCGTAAGGGAAGGGTCGAAGAAAATTTATTAATACATGTGCTTAATTTACAAGTTTATTGTTTATAGTTGATCTCCTGCCGGTTTATCGGGTTTATGTTGTTCGGTTCGGGTTATCAGAGTAGTCGTTTATCATTACAGTAAGAGATAACATGTATGTATATATGTACAATTAATTAATTGATAAACTGTCAAATATTTTGTGCGTATAGTAATAATGTAAGATATTCGCATAATTCCATTAAAGAATTCTAAAATGTACTTTTTTTTATTAATAATATATTACAGTTTCTGAGTTTTCTAATCCACGGATTGACGGATAAACGGATGAGCACATTTTGGTAATTATACCCGGATTTTAATCAAAACTATATCCTAATTTATTATATAGTAAATTTAAAAATCCTTTTTTAAATATAGAAAAAGAGAGAAATTCGATTTATATTAAGGATTCATCTAACGGGTAAAGAATTAAATTCGAATTATCCAAATCAAAATTTCTCTTAAATTTATTATATTTTGTTATTGGATATACATCAGGAATTTTTTTTCTACGTAAAAATCCATCTAACGTACGGATCTATCCATCTAACGGATCTAACGGATAAAGAATTCAAATCTGAATGATCCGAGAATCAAATCTTCTCTTCTAAATTTATTATATATATGGATATAAACCTTAGCAGTTAGTATATCTCATTATCTCAAAAAAATCTTTTTCTTTATTGATTAAAAATCCTGCCTATCAATCCGCGGGTTCGAAATTCTGAATATGAATTTTTTTTTTTTTTAAAAAAAAAAAAAAAATATGGATTCACATCATCAACATATTGTTTTTTAAACGAATAAAAATTTATAAATTGTCATTCACATCACATCTGGTAACATTCCATTTTTTTTTACCAAGTCACCCCTAAAATTATTATAAGGGTGTAGTGTTTTGGACTTTGGAATCGAATATATTCGAATATACTCGGGTATTCATTTAATTTAAAAAGTGTATTCGAATAATGTTAATAAATTTATCCGAATAAATTGATAATATCATTTGAATAGAAATACAAATATATTCGTAAATTTCACGAATATTCGATTAATGTTCGAGTATATTCGAATTATTCGAATAAAATTTTTCATGATACCTTATATATATAACGTGATTTTGATTATGAATTTGTTTATACAATTCCTCAAATCATAAATTCTAGCGCCTTCGGCTTGTGACCAATTAATAGACGTGATTCATCTTTGAAGTATGAATTATCCCAATGATCTTTCATTAAATCAACCTCATAGTACAGTATATAAACTAATAAAATTTTTAATTCATGTAACAACCCGCAGCTTCATAGCACGTGATCGACTGCGTATTAAGTGGTCGTCACGACGTCACGGATATTCATTTGTGCGACCCCGCTAAGATATACCCTCACATGCATGTTCATTCATTTATTTCAAACTTTAGAATTTAATAAGTTTTTCAAAACTGTAAAAACTTGAATTTAGTTAGTTTAAATTATATGTAAATATTATATAAATATATAATAATAGAATTAAATAAATAACTTTACTCTCTATATTAAATATAAAAAATTTTAGTTGATAAAACTATATAAAAATCTGCAATACTTAATGAAAAGGTGAAATTATATTTAATCTATTTAATCTTATTTAATCCTGTAATTATATCAGATATTAAAATTGTATTAAAAAACTGATAAAAACTTTGACTTTAAGACTCGAAATAGACAAGACTTCGGTTTTAAGGTCTTCAATTATAAGGCTGTAGTATAGAGGACTTCTTGCGTTTTCTCATGCTGGTTGTCGAAGGAAACCCAGCTGTTACTAAATCTGGATCGCGCATGCGATGCAAGTGATGAAGATTAAGAATGCATCATTGATGAGGTGATGATTGTCGGTTCGACGGTACTAAACGGTATTGAACATGACGGAATTTATCATATAGTTTGTTTAGTTTGTCACTGGTGTTGACTCGCTGAGGGCGAGAAGGACCCTTAGATTATTACAAAAGACTTTAGGTTTATTGCAATCTGTACAAGGAGCGAAAAAAGGGACGGACAATTAAATTTCAGGCAACGAAGATTTTATCTTGCCTAATTGGCCAAATCTATTAAACTTTATATTCATAATCTTCCACCTCAGTATTGAAGATTAGATTAACTGTGGGATGATTAATTTATGAGCTCTTGAGATCATTACACTTCCATTATAATTCATATAGCATAGTTTAAAGAGAAGTTTCATGCTCTTATATAAATTCCAAAGGGACAGCTACTTATCGGCATCAGAAAGGTACTCAGGATAAAGTCAATCAACAATTTAATTTGTGTGTAACATTTCTTGAAATGCTCATGAGATTACGACATATTTGCAATCATACACAGCTTTGTAAGAGACAAATAAATGGTACTGATAGCAATATAAATGATGAAAGATTGACTGCCCTGAAAGTAATAATAAATGTTGCTATATATATTCTAAAATCTTAACAATTCCTTGTAAACATATATTTGACAAATATTGCATCAAAGTTAGTTTTGGAGATGAATGATACAATATATACAGTTACAAGTTCATGAAACTTGCTAATGAATTCAATATTTTGTGACAGATTATGACGAATTCATAACTGATGAAGTATGGAGACAATGCACCTTAAAGCAGCTGATCAACAAAAATTAAAAAAATAATGGTGGAATAGTCTCCAAACTTGGTCTATACAAAATTGGAATATTAATTAATAGTTTAATTTCAATAATAAAAAACTAAATATTTTTATAAATATTGATGAAGAATTTATAACGCGTATCGAAGTGGTGAAAGAATAAGAAACGAGGAGTTGCATTAATGATTCTATTCAAAAGTTAAACCCCGGAATCATACCATTGATTTTTGGTGATAATAATTATTATTCTACTGGTATTTTCCTGATAACTAAAAATAACTTAATGGATAGGTACAACATTAATAATCATATAGACACCTTAAAGATCAAAAAGTTGATGGTGATACTATTATCACAATGACTTTATAGAGATTATAGTGCATCTTGAATCAGCTAAAAAAATCTTAAAGTCTGTTAAAGAGAGGTAAGTAATAAAATCTGATGCAAATGAATATGTGACTGATAACCTTTTATAACTCATGTTTGTGTTAATAATATACCAATTTAGATACCAATTTGCATTAGAATTGAAGTTGGAAATCTTAGAACCAGATTGGAAAATGATCGTGAACTATCAGCGCTCACTACTCACTGAAGACAATGATTATAATATTTATTTTAATGGTCTTTATAAGACTTTAGAAAACAATCAAGTATTTATATACGTTTTAAGAGTGCAATTTGAAATTGGTATAATATATTGATTTTTGTTTATCATATAATTTTTTTAGGCACCTTCAATGAAATTTTTGACATGAAAATTTCAAGTAAGAATTATTCCATGATTATTGCTGTGATAAGTCTTAATTATATATCCTCGCTAATTTAATTAACTCGAATTTCATCTCGATCCAGATTATCTTCCTGCTATTGAAAATTTTCGTTACAACGTTGATAAGTGCGCAGTACGATGTTTAGAAAAATTATTGCCGAGATAGTTATCGGAGTTCGTGACATAAGATTTTCTCCTGAACCTAAACAAAAATATTAAGTCAAACGTTCGATTATGCAAATAAGGTATGCTATTTTTGGTTGTGGCCGTTGAGAATATAGATAATGAGCATGATATGACCTCTGTGGTATGGTGCTAAAATTGGCAAGTATAGTTAGTATGGTACCTCATTAATTGAACATACCATGCATATTGTACAACGGACGTCATGGCTATACTAATTTTCGCCCCTAGTTCCATTGATTTGGCTGGATAACCAGGTCCGATTGATCAACTGGAATTTTTTGATTTGTAATCATCCAGACCCATGTCTTCTGTTGTCATTACATGGATCCGAGCTAATTCCACAACGGATCCAATTGAAACCTGGGGCGAAAATTAGTATAGCCCGGTTAACTCCGGTCATATCATACCATAACGGTGGCGATGTATTTGTAATGAAACAATTTTTGGACTTGCAAACTAATTGACTATGTTTTTGTACAGAATTTCTGAAGAATTTAGTTTAACAGAATGCAAACAACAAGAAGTCTCGGTAGAACTTTGTAAGGCTGATGTTACATTTCTCGCATTTGCTAGTCTCATTCATATACAGTAATTGATGTCCATTTCTATTCTATCCAGATTATCAATGATCGAAGAATTAATATTGGATTAATATTTTTTATAGGTAGTATAGACTTGTATGATCTGCAGATATTAGTATAGAAAACCATTTCATAATTCTACTTCTGTACAAAATTTTTGAGTGGATTCCATATTCAAAATAAAAAATTGATATTCTAACACATAAAACGTAGTACAAGAACAAAAGGTGCTTACAATAATTATAAAAAAGATGACGAAAAATTTGGACAACTATGTGACCTCATATCAATCAAAATAATAATTGATTTTCCGAAATTAAGATAAAAAATAATCAAACAGCACTTGATAGTAATCAACAAAAATGATTGATTCGTATTGATAAAACGAGTCTAGAATCCGAGCGTTAATTACGTCAAAACTATTGATACTGTTATTACTGAATCTTTCAATATAAGCTAAATATGGATGGTATGTATTAACTGTGAATTTTAATCGCTATAATTTTTCGTCCGCTAATTTTCTAATTTATTCTATTTAGGAGCGAAAATTTAATGTTACAATATTTATACAGTATATTTGATGCGATCACTTCCAAGTATATGTGGTATGAATTCTCAATATCATCTGACAAAGCGTTGATAAGTTAAAAACTTTGGCTGAGAAAATTAATGATCTTATGAATTTTCAAGTATTAATAACGTAAGTACTAATGGTGAAATACTGTAGAGGAGGGACCTTCTAATTTAAGGTTAGTTGCCGTAAGTAACGATTATTATGTATTGAATTACAATTCTGATTTACAACAATTATATTTACTTGACTTTTGGACTTACAACTATTTACGGAGACTAACACTATTCTAATTCCTCTTACTCAACCTAGACTTGATGTATTAGTTGGCAGTAAAGGTGCAAACTTTACTGACGTAACTGCTGTAACAAAATTACGTCAATAACGTCATTGCAGATGCTCATATAGAAATTTTATAATAATTTATATAATATCGAGCTACGGCACGTCGTCACGAGTTACTGAGCAGCCGGAGGTCAATACCCATTATTTAATTGCTGGAAGAAGTCGAAAAACTTTCTGGAACTCCGTCGCGGAAAAGGTGAACGAGAGGTGTGGGTGTCGATATACTGGAAAACAATGCCAATCAAAATTTAATGGGTTAGTTACAACCTTTTCAGTCCTTTCATTTACTTAATGAGTGACGTAGCGCGGAAGCCATACAATCACGGGATAGTTCATCCAAGTAGGTTAGATCAGTTGGATCAGTTAATTAAGCAATTCAAGCAAACACTCGATCACCATTGGTTTATATGCAAAATCATGTATTACTATCTCTAGATATATTTATCTGAATTATGTGGATAGTCTTGATATTTTATTATTTTATTTAAAAATAAAGTCTTGTTTTGCCAATTTTTTGGCGAATTGCCAAAATGATCATTCATAATGAGGTGTGCGACACGCAGTAATATCTAGTATATTAACGTAAGACTTTTTATTAATAGCAGATTGTAATCGCATGGATCAGTTGCAACGTGTATTTCGTAAAACGAAAGTTCTAACGTAAATATTAATAAATTTTTATAAATTCGTACACTATTAGCGTTCCCAAGAAAATAAGAGAATAAGAGAAAAATGGTTTCGTGTTCGTGAAGTGAAATTGTTATTAATATACAGTATTACATGAAAATACATAATTTAATTAACGTTATTTCTATTTTAAGTTAAATCTTCACGGAATTTTTTTTATGTTTACGAAATCTTGTCATTCTTGTCATTACACACTTTATGAGTTGCGTAATGCATGCATTTCATTAACTTTTTTCCTGTCTCCTGGGCATACCAAATATGATTACATGGTGGTTACACCACCAAGATTTTTCACGCATTAAATTAGATTGTCAATTTTATTTTTTATTTTTTGTGTAATATAAAGATGCATTTCATAAAAATAAGATGTATAAAATAAACAAACAATGATATGTTATTCAAAGAATTAATATACAAATTTTATTTGTTTGATTATTAAATAAAAGATTTAATATTATGGCGAAGCATATAGAGTATAATAGTTCTTTCATTAATAATGCTATGATTTAGGTGATTTAATTATGTTTCGTTTTCATTATATAAATCAGAAATACTCTGATTAATATAACAGTATCCTACTTATTATATACAGTATATTGGTAATGGATTATTTACGAGATGCACTGGTATAAATTAAATATTATTAGAGGATATTTTTTGTTTATATTTACAAATATTTTGTTAAGGAATATTTTACCATTCATGTTATTAATGTTTATAAGTCGGTCTATTGGATCTTCAGCATTCAACTCATCTTGTACTATGGAATACCAAGATGGAATTGTTGCAAAGATTTCTATGCTGATCAGATTTACATGCGAAAATTTTTTGACCCAGATACGGTATGAACATGGAATAAGCATCGAATATTCTATAGAAATTCGTAAATGATTTCATTTAAAAGAATAAATAAACAAATATTCATTAGTGAAACCCGTTTAGCCGGCTTGATTAATTTACGATTCATTTTCGGGGTTTTGTATATATATATAACATATGACGCAATATTATCATTTTTTCTCGTATTTGTTTTTGAAAAAAATATTTTAACTTAAATGCGCGAAATTTTTAAATTTTTGTTCAAAAAATTACACGATAATTTAAATGAAATACCAAAAAAAAAAATCTTATTATTAATTATTATTATTATATTAACCGGTTAATTAACCGGTTTTGGACCAGTGATTCCAAAATCTTTAATTCGAGCAAAAAAAAAAAAGGTTTGATTATCTTTATTGGTTAAATGCAAAGAATGTATCTCAAGAATGTTTTTCACTTATAAGGTACTTCATATTATAACATTTAATTCATGACAATTTTGCATAGTAAAATATTTCATTCAAAAATACACAATACATTATATTATTAAATATATTAATATATTTTTTTATTATTATACAATAATAGTATTAATAATATTATTTTAAATAATTCATAAAGAGAGAAGCCCTTTGTTTGTAAAGTTGTTATGCATTAATAAAGTACAAATAAAAATTAAATAAAATATAATTGTCCAAGAAAAAAAATCATCGAACACGTGAAATTCAGGTAAAATATGATTGGCGTTGAGTGGTACATAATTTCGGAATATTCAAACAAAGTTCTGTTTACGGTTGTGCAGTTCTGTTTGGAATGAGGCTATAAAGTGAGATTAATTCATGGAAAAAAAAAAAAAAAAATTTTCAAATTAAACTAAATTTTAAAGAAATCTAATAATCTCTCTATCTATCTATCTCTCTCTTTTTAATAAAAAACAAAGTTAAAGGAAATGGAATATTCATACATATTTTCAACTGCTTTAATTGTTGCTTTAATTACCATCTTTGTATATGTAATTAAAATATATCTAGAATTTAAAGATTCTCAGATTAGTAAAATAGTTCCAAGTAATAAGTTTGGTAAATATGATTTATCAGGAAAAGTAATAATCCTTACTGGAGCAACCGATGGGATTGGAAAAGAAATGGCAAGATTCCTTTCATCTTTCAATCCAAAACGATTAATAATTCCAGCTCGTAATAAACAAAAAGGAACAAATTTATTAAATTACATAAAAAAGCAAAATGGAAGTTCTGATAATGTTGAAATCTGGGATACAGATTTAGCTGATTTACAAAGTGTGGTTAATTTTACTGATAAATTTATTAGAGAAGTAGGAGAATTACATATGTTATTTAACAATGCTGGTAAAAAGTCATTTAATAAAGTTCTGATCTCATTTAATTAATTTAATTATTAATTATTGTTTTCTTTTTCGTTATGTTTTTGTTATAAAGGTACATTGATTTTGAGTAATGATACAAGAACAAAAGATAATTTAGAAACACATTTTCAGGTCAAAAAATAAATAAATTAAATTTTGTTTAAAATTCTAAAAGAATTTTTTTTGTTGAATAATTTCCTTAATTTTTTTTCTTTTACTTATAGGTTAACCATTTAGCTCCATTCCTGCTTACGATAAAATTATTGGATACATTAAAAAAATCTGCCACGCCAGATTCTCCTTCAAAAATCTCATTTACATCATCGGTGTCAAATCATTATAATAACTTAAATATGGATGATTTATTACTTATAAAAACTAAGGAATTATTTAATAATTATTCCTATACAAAAATAATGGTTTGTAATATTAAGAAAATATATTATTATAATTTTTTTTATTTTTTATTTTAAAAAAAAATCAAATCTTTAATTATTATTATTATTATTTATTAGAATATTATGATTAGTAATGAAATAGCTCATCGTTATCTAAATTCAAGTAAGTTAATAAAATTTATCTTATATATATTCACCATCCCTAAAATATTTAACATTCTCTCTTTTAATTAGATATAACATCAAGTTCAGCTCATCCAGGTTTAATGAACACACAATTGTTAAAATCTAATGATTTGACTGGAGATTTAATAGTTCGATTTGTGAAATATCATACTGAATCTTGGGAACAAGGTGCAGTTAATATATTGTATCCTGTTCTTTGTTCTAATATAAATGATAATGGTAAATATTTTGATAAATGTGCTGAAAGGGAACCCAATAAGGTTGCTTTGGATGAAGAATTACGTAAAAAACTTTGGGATTTTTCGGTTGATATATTAAAAGAAAAAGGTTATTTTTAAAAGTAGTTCATGAATTTCTATATCAGTTATATCAGTGAAATTTTTTATAAATTCATTATAATATCACTACAGTAGTACTACAATAATATCAAATTTAAATAATAAATAATAACATTTTTTTAAAAAAAATTTATTCTATATGTTATTTATTATACAATTTCGCTATAAAAGTTGAAAACAAATTTTTTTTGATCGATTCTAAATATAACTCCGACAAATAAAAAGAATATTTATTTTCAATTATCAGCGGAGAGATACACAGAGTAAGTGTACGGTTGCACTTTTCAAAAATAAAGTTGTTTTTGGCTTATCTCTGCTCAAGTACTTGTATGTTAAATGGATATTAAGAAAAAGGTTAGATTATAAGGTTAAGTTATCTTCATAAACTGATAAATCCGGTAATGCAGATCAACACTAACCTATCAAATTATTCGTATAGTATACCACAATTATGTCGTGCATGAGTAAACAATTTTTTTACCGGTCAATTAACTGGTTATTGGTCCAAAAAATTCATTTATCGTTGTTTTACAAAAATTGAAAATACAGTAAATTAAACTTTAAATTCCATTAGAATTAATGTTAGAAGGATAAATCTAAAAGTACAAAGATTAAAATTTTGTTATTATTTTTGTTTAATTGGATAGTTTAGTCAATGATTGCTTTTTCCGAGTTAACGCGTAAAATTACGTATCTCCATGTTCCATATTTTAAATGTCTTTTTTTTCACAGATAATAATGATGGGATTGATTCGCTCCAGATGAATCTTGTATTTGGTGAAACAATTAAAGACAAACGATAATTCGAATAATAAAAATCGATAGATTAATGCTCCAATGTCAATGCTTCTCATATCTTAATTATGAAGTAAATGTTATAACTTGTAAAAAAAACACAAAATTAATTTGACAATTGTAATCCAAACAAAAACACAATTTGATGCTCGTTGTTGATCCAACTTACCATTCGCGTGATTACGCCAAGTCGAAAAAGTTTAACCTAAAATTTCCAATTCAAGAAACAAAACCATCTATTCATTATATAAGGTCGATTGTTTTATTCTGTTCTTTTTTTGGGTTGAAATTATAGGATTTCCCCATTGCTAACATCTGCTGAAAAATGGCTGACAAGAACGAAATTAACGAGATATCGTTCAATGATGTGGTAGACTCTGAGACTGGTATACCCAAAACAACCTTACGTTCTACACTTATATCAAGAGTTGAAAAGCCAATAAATCCTTGGAAAATTTTACGCTCATTAAATAAAGCTCAAACGATTACTTTTTTGGCTGCATTTCTTGGATGGACTTTGGATGCATTTGATTTTTTTACTGTTTCATTCGCGTAAGTTATTCTTATTTTAGTTAATTTTTCGAAAACTCGTTTAATTAGCAATAACAATAAATATTTTATTGTTCTGAAACAACAAAGTTTGCCTTATATTGCAAAGGAATTCCAAATGCAACCTTCCAAGATTTCTGCAAGGTAATTTATCACAGTTTCTACAGTTTTTAAATTAATAAATTAATAATTTGCTTTAAACATTGTTTCGACAAAAGCATTACAGTGACGCTGATGTTTCGTCCAGTCGGTGCATTAATTTTTGGATTATTAAGTGACCGATTTGGTAGGAGATATCCATTGATGGCTGACATTCTATTATTTAGTACCATGGAGTTTGCCTCAGGATTTGCCCCAAATTTTCAATCCTTTATCGTTTTAAGAGCAATTTTTGGACTTGCAATGGGTGGAGAATGGGGTTTAGGTGCTGCATTAACAATGGAAATTCTACCGCCTGAAGCTCGTGGGTACGAATTAAAGTTTCTTATTTCTAATTAAAATTTTTAATTTTATTAAAATTCGTTTTAATTTTTATGTAGCTTGGTTTCGGGTATTTTACAACAAGGGTATGCAGCTGGTTACATAGTTGCCGCAATATTTTATTATTTAGTAACAGTAAATCTCGGATGGCGTGCCATGTTCTGGATCGGTTCCTTTCCCGCGCTACTTGTCATATTATTGCGTTTTTATGTCCCCGAATCGCAACTATGGGAGAGATCACGTGAAAGCCATAAATCTATTGGACATAGTTGGATTAATGAAATAAAATTGGTACAGTAAATAACATTTGTTTGAGGTTTGTTTGAAGATTAATTAAGTCATTTAACGTTTTAGGTTTTCAAACACCATTGGTCAAAAATAATTCATACTATTTTGTTAATGGCTGGTCTCAATTTCATAAGTCACGGTAAGAAGAATGATCATAACATAATTAATAGGTATAAACGCGCATTAAATTATTTTTTATTATCGATAGGAACTCAGGACCTTTATCCAACGTATCTCAAAACACAACTTTTATTTTCTCCAGGTATCTTATCTCAAAATTATTATATGTGTATATATATATATGAATAAACTTATCTAAAATATTATATTCTTATGTTCATTTCTCAGAGGAAATTACGGTAACAACAATTGTAGCCAATGTAGGAGCTATAATAGGAGGTGCGGTTTGCGGGTACGTTTCACAATATCTGGGTCGTAGAAGGACGATTATCGTTGCGATGGTATTATTAGGTGCATCATTACCTTTATTTGTACTCCCACGTAATCGTGTCCTTTTGAGTGTTGGTGCATTCCTCGTGTACTTTTTTGTTCAGGTAAATTATACATTTCTTTAATTAATAATTTAGGCAGACTTTAAATTAAGTGCAACCATTTTTTTAAAAAAATCAGGGAGCTTATGGAATTGCTCCTGCTCACTTGAATGAGTTGTCTCCTCCGAATTTTCGTGGCACATTTCCTGGGTTCACGTATCAATTAGGTGTCCTAATTGCTTCCTCATCTGCACAAATTGAAGCAGTGTTGGGAGAAAAATTCCCCAAGGACGGGCTACCCGATTATGGTTTGACTCAAGCAATTCTTACGGCATGTGCTGCTTTCTGTCTAATCATATTGGCCTCTATTGGAAAGGAAGCGAAAAATGTGGATTTTGTCGAAGTAGAAATTGTAGATGATTTAAAGTCTGATACGAAGCAAGATGACACAGAAAAAGAAAGCCTACATGAATAAATAAGTAAATTAATTCTATTTCTTGTGCATATTTTTTTTTCAAATTACTGTATAATATAAGTCTTCTTTCTATTGTGTATTGTAATTATCAGTTATTATTTTGTTTTTATTTATTGTGTAAATCTACTGTATATTTTCATTTTCCCACAAGTTTATCTATTACTAACTGTTCATTCGAAACTTTCTTGGTACTAAGAAAGAACAGTGGCATGATTTATTTCAGAAATTTATATTTGGACTGTATGTACATTCTCTTTATTTTCAAGACCTTATTTTATTCCTTTACTTCTTTCGTATATATTAACGTGATGGAAAATATTACATATGTAAGGTACAAAGTCTACAAGAGTGTTAAATTATCAGTAATTTGAGTATTTTTATTTAAAGAATTTTATCATTTTATTAAAATTTAAATTATAAAATTAACAAATTGGGTGATAAAAAATTTATAACAATTTTGTTGTTTAAATAATTATTTCTTGACTCCATAAATATTCTGATACTTTTCAATCATTATCAGATGTTCTTCATAACCACCACATTCTGTAATATACTGAACAATATTATCTAAATTAATAATTGTTTTAACAGGTAAATTATATTCTTGCTCAATCTGTTGCACAACAGTGATTTCTCCTGTCCCTTTTTCTTGTCTATCTAAGGCAATAACAATACCAACAGGATTTGCCCCATTTTCTTTAACGATTTTTAGACATTCTCTAATTGCAGTTCCCACACTGATAACATCATCCACGATTAAAACATTTCCTTTTAATGGTGCTCCAACAATATTTCCTCCTTCCCCATGAATTTTTTTTTCTTTTCTATTAAAAGAGTAAGCAACATCGATATTACACTTTTCCATTAAAGCATTAACTGTTGATAAAGCTATGGGAATTCCTTTGTAAGCAGAACCAAATACCACTTCGTAATTTAATTCGACATTTTGTAAAACGTCGGCATAAAATTGACCGACAGTTACGAATGCGCTACCTTTGTTAAATTTAGCAGCATCATAAAAGTATGGACTAACACGACCAGATTTTAAAGTATAAGTTCCAAAGGTCAGAGCTTTTTGTTCAATGGCCCATTCGATAAATTTACGTTGATAGGGTTCAAGAGACATTTTATAACTAAATTGATAGATATATATGCTATATATATATATATTACAAACAGAATTTAAGTATGTGTTTATTCTTCGGCTCTCGAGTTTTCAGAATTTTCTCAGAGAAAAAAAATTCTCAAAAAGAAAAAAAAATAATATTGTTTTTTTTGGAAATGTTCTGATTTTTCAAGAGTAACAGTGTAGTACAAAGAAATAAGGTGGGAGGACAATTTTTCATTTATCCCTCTTACGTAACCATTTGAATGAGGCACAGCGTGATTTAATTTGATGAATTAAATTATTTAGAATAATGAATTTTGGATGAGTTACGAATATTTGCGATTCATTTTTCTATTAATTAATTTAACTTAGGAATGAATTATTCATTAGTGAATTCAATTATCGATTCACTAATTTTCACCTTTTTTTTATTTACTTATTAAAGAAACAGTGAACGTTTATACGTACTAATAAAGAGGAAAATGATAAAGAATTAAATTATGAAATAAAATGTTTTTATTTTATTTTATTTTATGTGTATATATTATTCTTTTTAAATTTCGTGATAAAAAAAAAAAAATTGTAGCGTAAAAAAAAAAAAGATAAATAAAAATAAAATAAAATAAATAGAAAAATTGTCCCCCAAAAAAGTATATGTATTCTAATAGATTTATAACTTTACTTCTTTAATTTTAAATTGTTACTGAATTATTTAATTATGAATCTAACTAGAAGGTGTAGGCTTCTGTGAATCCGCAAAAATTGATGGTAAAGTACGCAATCGAGAATTTAATCATATATTTAATGAGCAAATGTCATCAGAATCCCGTAACAATAATATTCAATAATTTTAATAATAACTTCGCAAAATTTTAATGGATTATTTAAATAAAAACGTGATTTTTTGTATATAATGATATAATTTTTATTTTAATATACTGAAATAAATAATTTTTGTATTCATGAATATATTAGTGTAAGGATAATGAAATGTCGGGATTTTGAATTTCCGAGATCATGATTTGTCAGGATTGCGAACGTCGGGTTTATATAACAGAATCCTGATTATCGGGATTTCGTAAGTTCGGAAAAAATATTTAATATTGTTTGCATTGTTTGTCACGGCCAGTCATCAATTTTTAAAAATAGGGATGTATATTACTATTTATTGTTTATTCTCTTCATATGGGCCGATTTGACGCATCATACCAATAGTAACCAATTCCCATTTACTATGAAATTATCACATGCAATGCGTCAAATCAGCCCATACGTTCTCTTTTACTTCTATAAATCTTAATACAGTTATGTTTGCTTTCAAGCGTCTCAACATTCCACGTACTTACAATTTTAGCTTCGGTCACAACTATGTCAACTATATGCAAAAAGTGAATCTCTCTCAATTTTCAAGAAAAAAGTTTGACCTTTTTAACCGGAAACAAGAATTTGATTTGCTTACAACCAAATTTAGCAGTAATACTCCAGAAATTCATGTTATTTTAGGACCTAGTGATTCCGGGAAAACTACCTTGGTGCGTCAGGTGGTGCAAAATGGGAACTTTAACCCTCTATTTATCGACCTTCGTAATTCGTCCGGTATTTTGTTACTTCGTGATATTAGGAGTGAATTTCAAAATTTTTTCGAAAGTATATTCATTAAACCTAAAACTAAGCTGGAAACTGTTAATAAACTTGATTATAAGCTTCTTAAAAAAATTTCTAGTAGTCTTCCAAATTTAAGTTATTGGAAGAATCACAATATACCTCCACCTATCTTAGTAATTGATGAGGCAAATAAACTATTTGAGGAATATAAAACTCTTTTCAAAGCATTTCTTTCCTGGCTAAAACTAATAATACAAAATAATCAATTTCACGTGGTCCTTACCTCTTCTGAACCATTTTTTTTAGATTGGATGGAATATTGTAGGTATACGTAGTACCAGTAAATGTGTAATGTAGCATGCTTTTTTAACATATCTATTTATTTCAAACAGCTTTGCATACTATGCGTTTAACACCACATGTTGTTGGAGATTTAAGTATAGAAGAAGCTAAGCAATTTGTAAATCATGAACTTGAAAACAATGGTATTTTTTTTTTATCTTTAAAATATTTAGAACAATGAATACTAAATAAGTAATAATATTACATTAAATAGATTGTATGGAATTTAAACACGATTTTGATTATGTACGCAGCTTTACTGGTACACGCATGTCTTTCATTACCAATTTTGTTTATGATTATAGTATTCGTGGTAATGGTACGTATTAAATTTTTTAGTGCTATGAAATATGGATTTAATAATCAAGATATTAAAACATCTGATATGTTATTTACAGGTTTAGATTATATTTACAATCCAGAATATATAAGGATGAGATGGGGTTTGGATCCTAAATATTGTGAATCTCGCGCGAAGTATAATAATTTTCCTATTTATTGGGAAAAATCCCATTTCATTACAGCTATGAAAGCTTTAGTAGAAGCAGAAGATCAAGGATTTATTCTTGAAGATGATTTGATAAAAGAAATTGGTTATAAAGCAGTTCGTTCACTTGTTGATTACAGATATTTATACCGACGACCAAATTTTGGTCTTAATAGTGATTTAACTAATCCTCCAGCAGAGTCAAAAGTAATGTTAACTCCAATGAATCAACCATCATTAAATGCAGCAAAAGACCTATTAAAAGAGAATAATTATTAATTTCAATAAAGTTAATTTGCTTATTATATCTGAATATAAAATATAAATAAATTTCAATCGTTGATAATTTATTTATTTATTTATATAAAAGTATGAATCTAACTAAAAGGTGTATGGCTTTTATCTGTGAATTCGCAATAATTGTGAGTAAGTTTTAAATGGTATTAAAGGTACACAATCGAGAATTTAATCGCATCTTTAAATGAACAAATGTCATCAGAATCCCGTAACAAGTAATATTTAATAATTTTAATAATAACTTCGCAAAATTTTAATGGATTATTTAAATAGAAACATGATTTTTTGTATATAATGATATAATTTTTTATTTTTAATATACTGACTAAAATTTAATAAATAATTTTTGTATTCATGAATATATTAGTGTAAGGATAATGAAATGTCGGGATTTTGAATTTCCGAGATTATGATTTGTCAGGATTGCGAACGTCGGTTTATATAACAGAATCCAGATTATCGGAATTTCGTAAGCTCAGAAAAAATATTTAATATTGTTTGCATTGTTTGTCACGGCCAGTCATCGATTTTTAAAAATATAGATGTATATTACTATTTATTGTTTATTCTCTTTCTCTTTTACTTCTATAAATCTTAATACAGTTATGTTTGCTTTCAAGCGTCTCAACATTCCACGTACTTACAATTTTAGCTTCGGTCACAACTATGTCAACTATATGCAAAAAGTGAATCTCTCTCAATTTTCAAGAAAAAAGTTTGACCTTTTTAACCGGAAACAAGAATTTGATTTGCTTACAACCAAATTTAGCAGTAATATTCCAGAAATTAGTCATGTTATTTTAGGACCTAGTGGTGGTGCAAAATGGTAACTTTAACCCTCTATTTATCGACCTTCGTATATCGTCCAGTATTTTTTTACTTAGTGATATTAGGAGTGAATTCCAAAATTTTTTCGAAAGTATATTCATTAAACCTAAACCTAAGCTAGAAACTGGTAATAAACTTGATTATCAGCTTCTTGAAAAAATTTCTAATAGTCTTCCAAATTTAAGTTATTGGAAGAATCACAATATACCTCCACGGCTCCACCTATCTTAGTAATTGATGAGGCAAATAAACTATTTGACCTTCCTGATCTTTCAAAGGAATATAAAACTCTTTTCAAAGCATTTCTTTCCTGGCTAAACTAATAACACAAAATAATCAATTTCACGTGGTCCTTACCTCTTCTGAACCATTTTTTTTAGATTGGATGGAATATTGTAGGTATACGAGTGGATTGTCTTAGGACATAATAATATATTAATATATTATTATGTCCTAAGACAATCCACTTGCACCAGACTAATATGTCATAGGACATTGTAATCTATTAATTAATATGTCCTAGGCCATTGTAATCTATTAATTAATACGTTCTAGGAGATTATAATCTATTAATTAATATGTTCTAGGACATTATAATCTATTGACTATTATATACTAAAGATGGGGTCTGCTTTCCCTCTCTGTGACTTATTGGTTAGTAAATATGGATGAGGTGCGCGCCTATTTGGTTGCCTTTCAAAATACTGAAGTGGTGTAAAAAAAAGGTGACAGGTGGCGCAGTAAATTCGTGATTAATTTCGGCCGGTATTTATACCATAATTTTGGCTGATCTTTTAGGAATGTTATTTTAGGTATTAGTTGGTGCCGAATCATTATATCCAAAGTTTTGGCCGAATTTGTGGAATAGTTCTGGCCAAAATTAAGCGATTTTTTTCTACGTCTACTGCGCCTTTTTTTTCTAAAATGGGTGTTGTGAAAAAATACATATATTGTTAGGAGAGTCATATCACTCATATGTTAGTGATCCCAGAGGGCTCAGTGACAGGTGATTCTTTACGCACATATTGTTAGGAGAATCATCTGATAGTACTCCCTCAAGGCTCAGTATCAGATGACATTCAGCGCTATGTCAATTGATCATAATTTACTGCGCCCTAAATTCCAGATAATTTCGGCAAACATTTTAGCATAATCCATTTTGGCATCATGATAGTAGCTTGATATTATCAAACAGCTGGTAGAGAGCCAGAAATATCCTACTAATTTGCCAGTTTGGATGCCAAGGTTATTGTGTCCCTAATTCGGCCAGAAATTATGGTATAGTGTTGACCGAAATGATTGCAGGAGAGGTACATTCTACGTATCTTGTTAGGAGAGTCATATGATTTACTGCGCCTTACTGCGTTAATATTTAATCATGTGATTCAGTTCCTTACCAGTTCCTGGCACTTCCCCGTCACTTTCTCGCAACTTTCGAGTAACTTTCAAGTAACTTTCGAGGGTCAGTTAGTTAAAGGATTAGGGTTCTGATAGACATTACTATGGCCGGCCCATTTGTTTGCCAGAAGTGCGCACCTTGCAACTAAAGCAACTATTGCCTATTTGTTGCCAGTACATGTATGCCAATTTCACGTCTGAAGTTGGAGATGCGATATGTATTATTGTGGCCGGCCCATTTATACCACATATGCCCAAATACATACCATCGAGATGTAGCCTTTATGCCACACCTGAATACATACTAGTGTTAGGGTTAAGGTTGCTTGTCTAAACCTCTTCAAAATCCTACGATTAGTTTCGTCAAAATTTTACTATAAATTTATTATAGTTTCGGCAGAGTTTCGGCAGTTTCGGCATTTATAATAAGTTTTGGCAGTTTCGCCATTTTCCAAAGTTTCGCCAGTTTTTTAATATAACTTTAATATAGTTTCAGCAGAATTTCGCTTTTCGGCGAAACGCCATCTTGCCTAAACCCCTAGGTTTCGGCAAGCAACCTTAGTTAGGGTAGTCTTCTTCCATAATTTTATATAATATTTCCGAAGAAGACTACCCTGGATGACATACCCGAATACATACTAGTGTTAGGGTAGTCTTCTGCCAATATTTTATATAATGATTACGCAGAAGACTACCCTAAATATCACCTATTAGGAATATATTTATTCGTGTCTCCGAAGCGTCTCAAGAGAGACCAGCTAACTTCAGTATCACTTTTTTGGTATATTTTTATCTTACACGAACCTCCACCATATCCGAGTATATGTCTAGAAAAGTGTAGCCTTCTGCCAATTTTTATATAATAGATTACGCGGAGGCTATACCATACCCAAGTATATATCTAGAAAAGTGTAGTCTTTTTCCAATTTTTATATAATAGATTACGAAGAAGACTACACTTTTTCAGATACATCCACTTGCCTTTTATTTTCATTTTGCTTACTAGCTTGCTATACATCTCTTTTTGCAACCACCAAAAAAATTAATTAAACATTTTCGAATTTTATAGAGATAGTATAACTTTTCGAACTAACATCATGCATACACCAACTATTTTCGACCAAACTGATCGCACCGGCCCTCAAGCCCACTATGACGGCGCTGACCCCAATAAATACTTGAGCGACTCAGATAGCTATAATGATGAATCTGATTGCGGATCAGATGATTATAATAACCATGAGTCCAATTGCGAATCAGATAGTGAAGAAGTCCCCTGCGCTTCAACTAGCACTACCGTGGCTCCATCATTTCCGTTACCAAGACAAGAAAAGTTTAATAATGACTTCACTCCTAAGGACCTGCTAAATAGTATTCGGGAAATTCTTTCATCACTGCCTAGAGATATGTCAAATGATAAAGGCTCATTAGATTGCCTTCCAATCTATTCATTCCTCTTTTCGAATGAAAAGGGGTCTAGTTTATATAATGCTTATGATCGGGATGAAGTGGAAAATAAATTGGTTATCAAAATTGACCAAGACGCTGATCGGGCTCCGAAGTTTTCTGTTGCAGACGACATTTCTGAAGTATATGGTTTACCCGGGATTCATGAATGTATTAATGGTCAAAAGCCTTTAAGACCTGTGATTGATATCGATGCTACACAGGGGGATATGGAATCAAATGGAGTTAAATCTGGTAGTGTATTCATCCGAATCTGTTGCTCATTCATAAGAGTTTTATATCGAATTCTTGATTGTAACTGGAAAGATATTCTAAAGGGATTAATAATCACCACATCGTCAGACCCTAGCAAGTGTAGTTACCATATTTTATACGCACCGGCTCTTCTTATTGATCATCAGGAACTCAAAGCATTTACCGAATTAGTATATACCTTAACTGGGGAAAAATTCAGCAAGTATATTGATCGGGGGTTGCCTGGTCAAAATTTTAACCTTCGCCTTATCGGTTTGGCAAAAAAAGGTCGTGTAAAGCGTATTCTTCAATTCTCACTAGATAATGGGTGGAATGAGCTCGACCACGCTAGGGTTTAACTACCTACTAGCTTAGAACTTAAAGTAAGACCTCGAATGCTTAGCATAGAAAAAAATAATAATTTACTAAGAATATCCGTGGGTCGGGATATATTACAAAAATGTGCGAACTTAGTTTTGCAAAAGCATTCTAACTATCTTAGGGATTGGAATATCGAGGAAAATGATTCACAAAACTTCGTATATTTTAACCGAAAAGCTTCACTAGAATGTCCACTATGTAAACGTATACATGACAAGGATCAGCGGTGGTTCGGTCGTGTATATGCCAGCAGTGGAACATTCATTGTAAAATGCTTCCGGCAATGTAGTGATGAACCAGGGGAAGTTTTTGAATGCGACCCATCTATTGCAGAAAAAATTCAGCAAGAAAATAAAAATCCTAAACAATCCTCCAAAAAGGTAAAGGCTCAAGACTTCCCTAAAGCCTTAGTAAAAATACCATCTTGGGTCAAATATAGTGAGACCCTTACGGCTACAGAAACTTATAATGAAAGGTATGTAAGACCATTACCCAATGAAGACGATATTTATGTGGGGTCGCCTTGGGAAACAGGAAAAACCTATATTCTTAAAAATTTGGCTATCCCTAATGATGTAAATTTGCTAGTATTATCTACACGCCATTCTTACTCAAACGCTGTTACTACAAGGCTTAATCTTAAGTCATATTGCGATATCGATGGTAATATAAATCTACCTGATCATAAGAGGGTAGTATGCCAGATAGAAAGCTTACATCGTATTACCAATAATTGTAAATGTAATAAAAAATGCAAATGTCTTCCAATCCATTATGACCTGTGGCTTGATGAAATAGTGTCTATAATTGCTCAAGCACAAAGTCGTTTGGCAGGACAATCGATAGAAAAATTATATAAATTAATACAAGATGCGAGGCGCATTATTGTAATGGACAATGACTTAACTGACCTCAACATTGAATGGATTAAGGCCCTTCGCAAGGATAGAGTATTTTCAATTATCCATAACACTTATCAACCACAGGAAGGTAAGACATTCCGCTTGGCTCCCAATAAAGAAACTGTATTAGCCGAACTCTGGGATTGGGCCAAGCAAATATCTTCACTACCTTTTGAGAATCGGAAAAGCACTTCGCTTATCTGCCATCTCAGAAAGGATGTGTAAGGGATTGTTCGTGCTCTTAAGACCGATTTTCTAGAACTACAGATTAAGGAATATCATGGTAAATCTGATCCGGTAGAAAAGGCTCACGATTTCAGTAACGTTGAAGAAGCATGGAAAGCCGTAGACCTAGTTGCTTATACTAGCACTCTAAAAATAGGAGTATCTTGCACTAATCCTAATTTTGAGCGAGCATTTTGTCTCTTTAATAGCTATATAGAAACAAACGCTGGAACGAATCAGATGTTATTCCGCATGCAGTGCATTAAAGATTATATATGTCATATCGAGCAAAGATCGTTTAATGTTTCCATTACAGAAGAAAGGCTATTTTGATGGTTGTTGAATGCTAAACGCGAATGTCTCCCCCAAGAGCTTCAGAATAGAGGAATGTTTCCGGATATCGACTCTATTATTCAGAATAAGAAAGTACCAACTATTCGTTTATGGGTTGCATATATGTTAGAAAAATTTCGATCTCATCGTTTATTTGGCTGGAGAATGGTTGATTTTCTCCGAAATGCGGGTATGGTAATTTCTTTCATAAAACTTATTCCTAAACCTAAAGATAATACGATATCATTATTCCAGACAGTAAAGGTGAGTTCATCTATCATTAAAGCAGAAGAAATTTCAGATATTTCAAATGCCCGTATTCTTGATTATGAAATAGCCGAGGTTTTGGAAAATAAGCCGAAGAAGACTTTAGAGGAAATGCGATCTCTAAACCGGCATCATATTGTAGAATGTTATGAAATTCCGCTTGAATCATTGACTGAAGAATTCATATCGAAGTATAGGAATTATAATCATATGAAATGGTTCAGAGCTTATAGACAGTTACGAGACGCTGGCATTAACAATGAAACAGCTGTTGAGGCTATCATTCGTAAAGATTATAGAGAAGATAAACTTATCATAGCTACTCGAGCTGAGAGGCATCGAATTTGCTTGGAATTACTAAGGATCTGTACACCTGCTAAAGACATTGACGATAGGACACGATATAAATCTGATGATGTCAAAAAGTGCTTGAACACTCCCGAATCGACATCGTATCTCCAGGGTTTAGTGCCTAAAATGGCTCGAGTATTTGATAATACAAATGCATTGCGCAGTGCTAAAAAATCGGGATTAAAAACAATCCGAGCGAAAATTAGTTTATTAAATGCATCCCTTTACGCAACTTATGGATTGAAATTTAAGGCTGTTGATAAGAGTCAAAGATATTATCATTTAGTTGGTTCATTCGATAGCAAGGACGCCCCCAAGTTTCCTTCATACCAAACAGGGGAAGAAGTTTATTGGGAAAATGGTAAAGATACTCGATATGGATATAGTAAGATCCCACCCGATGAATTATTATTAGGTAATCTTTCTAGTTCTAGCAAAGTTGATAATACGCAAATTTCAGAAGATATTCAGAATTTAATTGATATATGCTAATGCCATGTCCAAATATATATCTAGAAAAGTGTAGTCTTCTTCCAATTTTTTATATAAGATTACGAAGAAGACTACACTTATTCAAGTAGGTATCATTAAAAAAAATTCTCGCTCCGGTCAGATACATAGTCACATACTTTGAGACGTAGGCTTCTAACAAAATTATATATAATAATCGACTAATAATATTTTTTTACTTACTTTCCGGCAGATAATTCAGAGGGGATCTAGTGCTCTGAATTTCGAGCTAACCACTAATCCCCAAATAGGTCAATACCCATATCCTCATCATTCGACTCAGAAACTGGAGCTTTATAGATTCTGGGTGCTTCTGGAACTGAGTCTCTAATTATAATCCTATCACCTAGTACTTCGACCTGGATCAAATCCGTTAAATTCCATCCTGACGAATCCACAAATAGTTGTGAAGAAGCGGGAAATAAGTGTTCATGGATTGAAGTACTACTATCATCCGACTCAGAAATTGGAGCTTCAGGGATTCTGGGTTGAAGGGTCTCATCTGATAATTCAGAGATCTTTGCGGGCTGAAGAGCCTCGGTCTCGGCCTTACGTTTCTGCCTCATCCGGTAATTGTGCAAATGAAACTTTGCAGAATACTTGGAACAATATTTGGAACAAAATCCTGAATCAGTATCGGTAGGAAATTCACAACTAAGGCAGTGAAATTTTTTCATGTTTTTCTCATACAATTTCCAGTGCCTATAACACCCGGCAGGGTCACAGCATCTATTTCCACAAATAGTGCCATCTCTTTTGATATGTGCGCAAATAAAGCGAGCCATGGAAGTATTTCAGGATATAAACCCTCTTTTCACTTTTAATTTCATAATAAAATATGTATTTAAATTAATCGGTATTACAATGAGATAAAGTATCTTTTTATACTAACGCTATGGACATACATAGAACAGTACTTAATTTACTAACTGGCCGATGGATCGACCCAAATGGAAAGCTATTCCAGAAGTTGATTCGTGAAGGGTTCAGATACGCTGATAGACTTTTGGATTATTTAGAGGATATTGGGACTATATATGTTGGTGAATTCGAATTAGACTCCTTAGCCGACTTCTACTATTCGGCTATAATTCCACCTTTATCTATCCTAGCTAGATCGAATATTTGTAAAAAGTTTCTATTAGTGTAGAATCTGCTGTTATAGGAAGAATGGGATTATTTACCCTTGAAAAAAATAAACGATCCTCGCTTCAAAATCTAATACAAACGAATTATTCTAGTGATAACTTGTCTGTATTAATAGGAATAACTTGGGAACATAGAGAGACAAAAGTTTGGAGGAATGACGTACTCATGAAATTCCTCCATCACCCGAATTTAGTCCCTTCAAAGTACAGGCCAAATTCTTTATATAATGCATTCACTAAGATGAATGCTTTAGAACCAGAACAAATATTAGCTCTAGCGCGAGCACTTTACTAAAATGTGAATCGATACAGATAATTTGTTCATAGCCTTGGAATGGGGGTTCCATGACTATGTATTTTTTTCGCATATCCTATCTACCCGCAATTTTCAAATATATATAAAAGATATCCCGGCCAGAGCTCGTGACCTCATAAAGAGCCCGCAATAAGTTATAATATTTTTACCCTACCAACCATGAGGTAGTGATATTACAGAACATTTTTTCAAACTGAACTTTTTTGTACTTAATATAAAATTAGTACGTTTTAATATTCTTGACTATACTGTCGTAAAAACAATATGGCAAAAGTAGCTACAGATTTCATGAAACGCCATAAATGGACCTTCGAAACCCCATCATCCGAACTAGCTCAATACACAGAGGAAATTAGCAAAAGTTTAAAGGATGATCGCAAGGTAAGATCCAATGCCAAAATGCGCTTTCGGGTATTAGGGCTTACTAAGGAACAAGTAGAAGTTCTTATTCCTATTCGACCTACTGGAAAGCGTGAAGAAGGCAGGGATACTGTTGATAAAATTGCCCAAGAAATTGTGGAAAAGGATTATCCCTCTGAGAAAATAAAACAAATTTCATATGATTTGGGGAGTTCCACACCTAATCCAGTTGCAGGAAGTTCCCGGCTTACTTTATTGTGAAAAAAGTTACGGGATCATGAAGCTGATCATTCCAAAAAAGAAGCGACCAAAATTCCTCATATTACTACTGAATCAAATAAAATTCAAGCACATCGACTTGTACTTGATAAATTTGAAGGTGTCGACTGGCCTGAACACTTCTTCTTAGAACCGGTTCAAGAAAGACTCGATAAATGTAATATTTCCTTGTCTCCTTCTAAGGAAAATCTGGTTGATGTAATGATAATGTTATGCATGTGACCAGCAGATGTCACCGGTCTTTGTATTGATAATTATGAAGCATTAGACGAGACTTGGCGTCCTAAAAAGACCTGGTATAATCCTAAATATTCCTGGTATTGTACTGGCTACTCTAAAGTCAAAGAAGAAACAGGAGTGGGAGAACCTTGGCCTTTCGTTTCAATAGAAAAAAATCTGCTACAAGCAAAAGATTTGCTTACTTGGATTCAAAAAGCAATACCAGAAAAATTCCCCTTCTTACGAAAAAACAAAAGCGGTATAGTTAATGTAAATCCAATTAATCTTGCTTTAGCTCAACATGGGATTACTTCGAGTAAATTGAGAAAGATAGGTGCAGATCATGCTAGCAGGATCCATGGAAGTAGGAACAATTCTCATCGCTAATATTTACGAAAGTTGGCTTGCAGACAAGTAGTAGGTCGTCATGAATCAATAGAAAGTTATGGCATAATGAACGACCTACCTTCTTGCAATTGTTCGAAGGCATCCCAGAAGATCCAGGTAAAGATAAAAGAAAAAGTGGATTAATCCTGATAATGATTTGTATATGTCTGCTGTCCGATCAAGCAGACCCATTCATACTCTTCGATGAAAACTAATCACATAGTGGGATAGACATTATTTATTAAATTTTATTTTTTCGCTTGAGGCAAGATCTAGCATATATAAAATATTGCAAAAATGGTAGCTGATCAAAATCATTCACCCGATAGTATACATAGCGAGCAGGAAGTTATCAGGCGTACAGAAAATAAAGCCAAGTTATTAGGGCTAGATGAGCAAAATGCAGAAGCATATAAAGCACTCTCTAGACAGATTTGGGGCTCGAGAAACAATTAGAAAATTATCATTTCGAATATATAAAGCTTAAAGGAGGGTCAATTCATTGGAAGCTGAAATAGAAGATCTGGACGAATGTGCAGATATGGAGACTGTGGTCGATTTAATACATGAAATAGTTCCCTTGATAATTGCTAAAAAAGGGCTGAAAGGCGCTGTGCATAAGGGTTCCTCCTATTTGTCTGAGTCTTCCGAAGAATCTGATTCGGTCAAGACAATTGTGATAAGAGAAAATGAGGCTATCCCTCATAAGCAACGAAGGAAGGCACGACCAAAAAAGGTTAAACGGTTGGTGGTTTAAAATGGGCCTCGCCAGCTCAGAAAATTTATCCGAATTCATCTATTCTTACCGCCCAAGTGGTAATGAGTAATACCCGCCTATTTCGAGATCAGGAAATAACATGTCTATTATTTTTTGACTAATTCTACGGCAACCTTTCAGGCCAAGATATTCTAGACTATGTAAATACTCTGCGATAGTTTTAAGGGTTCTATCGAAAATAAGGTCAGTGTATCCAAGATCAAGATATATGATATTAGGACACATTTTTGCAATTTTGGAAATTGACGAATCAGATATATGCAAAGCTCCAAAAAGGTCTAGATGTTTTAAATTGTGACAGGATAGAGCTATTTCTTCTACAGCTTTGTCTGTAATGTTGCAAAATTGAAGATTAAGATATTGGATATCTGGACATGATCGCGCAATAATGCACATTGATTTATCACTAAGAGCCTTTATACTATAGAGTTCGAGATGTTCCAAATAACGACAATGTGCAATTTTTCTGATGGCTATATCATTTATTCCATCACAATACTCGAGTTTTAAACTTCTCAGATTTGGGCATAAATCTGTAAGGGTATAAATAGCAGTATCGGTAAGTCTACTAGAAGAACGAATATCTATGGATTGGAGGTTAGGATGGGATCGTGCAATATCATGTACAATGCTATCAGTGACATGATTCCGATATCCACTAATTCCTAGATGTTTTAACCCATTGCATGACCGTGCTATTTCACAGAATGATTTACCGGTAATATCTCCGCCAAAACCAATATCTAAAAACTGCAATTTATCACATTTCTTTGCGATTTTAGTGATAGAATGATCGGTTAAGCCTATTGTTAGAAATGTTAAGATGGATCAGGTTGGGATATACTTGAGAAATCTTGATTAAGGCCGTATCATCAAAACCCGTACTTCGCTCAAAATCTAAATGGATTATGTTTGGGAATACTTCAACTATTTTTTCGATTATCTCATTCGAAAGATAAGAATGGTGCGTAATTATGAGGCACTGCACACTATGTCTAAAAATTGGTCTAGAGTTTATATGTATCATTTTTATAAACTTTTCCTGTTCTTTCTCACCAATCAATTCGATACGACCCCATAAAATTGGACCAGTGCACCTAGACCAAAGTCTAGAGACCAGCAAAGTTGGATATAGTACGTTATCTTTAGCTAAGAAATTAAAAACATTCTTTAGTAATTCAGGAAGAGCAAGCGCCATATTTTTATCAAGGTATATTTACTTCAATAATTTTCTATTATGTGTTTCCGAAACTTGGTTATTACATCAAGTCTGACATCTCCGAGCCTGGCCGGTTCTGGTAAATCATATATGATAGTAAGCCTGACTTTTTTCGTTTAAAGATATAATATATAATATGCACTATGTATGGCGCAATCAAGCATCTTTTATTTACCAGAACTATTAGAACAGATTTTACATTTCTTATTGATAGATAAATCTCTCTATCCCGCTCTATATGTAACCCAATTGTGGTACAGATGTGGTGCCCCTATTCTGTAGAAGCGTATCGAATTGAGAGGGAAAGACTTATTTCCTGGACAATCTCTTCCAAATGATTATAAAAATTACTGTGCAAAGGATCACCCTCGATTAAATAAATTCATAAGGATAGAACGTGTAAAGGATCTCTCTCGATTGAAAAAATTCATAAAGTTAGTACATAGGAAGCAAACGCCAGTTTATTGCTCAAATGTAACTCATCTCGAAGTATCATACTACCATTCACTTTCAGATAAAAAAATCATAAGCATTGTACATTCATGCCCAAATATAACCCACTTGAGTTTCATAAATAGAATAGCATTTAGTAATAGAGCATTAGAACTGATAGCGAGTTCATACCCGAATCTGAAGTATCTCAATCTATGCATTGATCGACCAGGTGGCTTTAGGAGCTTTTGTACTTGAGAAGTAGATGGCAGTGGTCTATGGAGAATCGTGAAGTCATGCCATAGATTAGAATATCTAAATATCTCTAATCGCAGAGAATATTCTGAAACATCAATTTGTAATGTTATTCGTTCTTGCCCAAGGCTCCAGCAACTCGACCTTAGCTTTTGTCAAATTACCGATATAACTATCAAAGAAATTGCTGGTTCATGTCTTAATTTAAAGTACCTCAATTTGGAAGGGTGTAATAATATTAGCAAAGAAGCCATAGATCAGCTCATTTTACTTAATCCAAATATCCATGTTGAGAATTTTGTGCCGATTCAGGTACCTTCCCTAGATGTGATCCGTGAACTCGTAAGGAGTCTGGGGATACCACATGATGCACCAAGAGATGTTGCATCCTTAGATAATGTTATCATCGACGACTTATCAAGGAGATTGAGTGAACGCTATATTCTAGCTAGAACATCACCCCGGAGTGGTGGTCGGTTATATAACACCCGGCATAGTGTTGATAATAATCAGAATTCGGTCATATCTCAGATATACCGGCAACCTAACAGACGATCGCCAAGGATTAATTTCGGTAGAATACTAGCCGATCAAGTAGAATGGTGGTACTCTACCGATCTAACTAATCTGGAGTAGTGATCATCAGCTCAGATGATTTTTTGTTGGGTTATAGTCTGTGTGATAAAAAATATAGATTAGCTAACCTGTTCTAGACATGGGCACTGTCCGGTGCTAGTTGAATTTTTTACAAAAATTTCGTGTAATTGTTGAGGAGAGAGATTTGGAAATAGCGGATGTCCCTCTCCAGTAAACCGAATTTTATTTACCCCCATTTCACCATATTTCTGTAAAATCACAATTGGAACATCTTCTAATGGACCATGGAATTCCTCAAACTTTTGGAGATATGCTCTTGCTTTTTCATCGACTTCTTCTGCCCTTTCTTGATTAGAATAACCAATAATACCGAGTTCATTCTGAATTGTTATTATATCCTCTTCCAAGTATAAAAGCAAATTATATATTTCTTTATATGAAATATCCGTAGAAGCTTTATAACTCCTAAGTTCCACCTCTAGAATGGGATTGCCTTCGATGTTGAGTTCCTTCTGTATTGGTAACATATCTCCCACCAAGTCTAACAACAACTCATATGAATCGGCAAGTGTTATCTCTTCCTTGCTTTGACGCATTGCCTCTTGATTTGCATTGATATTAATACCAAGCTTTTTCTGAATAGCTATTATATCCTTCTTCTTATATAAAAATACTTCATATAATTGATCAAGAGATTCTTTCGTAGGAGATTTATTAGTATTGTTATTCACCATGATTGCTAATAGTAAAGTAATATATTTAATGTGGAAAATTTTACCGAAGGTGCCTATGGCCGAATCCGGAATACTGATCATCAACCCGGGATAGTGATCATCAGCTCGGAAGAATTTGCTGAGTCACAGATTGTGTGACAGAAAAAGGCCGATCACCAGGCAGGGTTTGTGCGACATATTAATTTTCACATATATATTCGAAAAACATATTAACCTTTATTCTTTATTTTTTTCCCAAACAAACATGAGAAAAATGGCCTGCTTCACAGGCGCTTCGCTTGAAAGGAGGTCTAGTTGGAGCACAGGACCAGCTCTAAAAGTAAATAGTGCCGACAAAAGCATATGTTATGAAAGGCTGAGGACTTTGGAATTTCGAGATCGCCAGGCGTAAAACCAACTATGTCTTTCCGGTAGATCTACATGTGAAAAGGTATGAGAATTCTATTTGCATGTGCCTTCATAGAACTCTTGGCATCATACGACAATGCTAATCACTATTCTTATCTCCTTAACTTCGGCTTGGCGCTCTTTTTCCAGCAAGATATAAAGTATGTAGGAATATGTGGAAGTTCAGCCAACTTTCCGCAAAAATAATATCCGTAAAATGTCACAAAATAAGGTATGTATATGCTAAAAGTTTTGTATACATGCAAGCGAAAAGTTCTCACATTGGACCATGAATTTAGGAAAGTAAGAAGCCTAGCACCTTCACTTGCTTCGTTCGTAGTGAGGCCAACAAAGATATTTTTAATGTAATAATTGATAGGGATTTGACCGTTAGTGACCTGGAAGCTAAGATCAAAACTGACCGGCCAGATTTAGAAGAAATAAACATCGAACTATATAGGAAAGATTTCTTTCAAGAAAATAATGTTCTAATCAATACTGTGAATAGCGATAAACCTGAAAAAAGACAAGGGGTATGGATGGACCCGCAAAAAAAAATTTCTCAATGCTTTTCCTTGGGGGAAGAAGACTCTGCATCGCCTTTTCCTCTAGAAGAAGGTAAAATAGCCGGCTTAAAACCTATTAACATCATCATATACCCCCAGGTGGAGTTGGAAAAAAAGCCTCCCTCGGATATTGGACTCTAGCGAATCAGAAAGCAAACTTCGCGCGATCCCTACAGGAGATCCGCTTGCGCTGTCCATTTTCTGAAATAATTAGTATTTTTTTATCATGCTATGTAATAGTTTTTATGTAATGTTAAGCCGGTTCCGGCAACATTTTTATTTCATAAATAAAGTATTATTATTGTACTGTACATGAGAAAGGGTCACGTGTAATGGTGCGGTCCATGGACTAGTCGAAGACGCTAAAGCATAAATCTAATATTTTTATCCGAACTAATCTAGCCACTAGCCTATATAAAAACGTCAGGTGATAAGTGAGAAGAGTCTTCACGGTTAGGGAGGCGCAGTGATTTGCACTTATGATGCAAAGTGGTGATCGGTCTCTTGTATAAGCCGAAAACATGTCTATCACTTTACTATGTCTCGTCAAAGGAAATACGACCGCTAGTGCTTTTGCCATAGATATTGATAGAACAAAATGACTTTGCTGGTATAGACGCAGACAGGCTCAAGCTATGGAAGGTGTCAATCCCTGGCGATCAGGACGATCAATTAAGAAATCTAATACTCCAGGACAGTGACGAGCTGTTGGCAATAAGAAAGATTTCGAAATATTTCCCAGACTCACCTCCCGAAGAACATATCCATGTTATTGTAAAATTGCCACGTAAGTGTCTGGTATAGTCTGTGCAAAGCGCCTTAACGACTAATTTTTCGTCATTTGCCCTAGTAATAATAATATATATTCGTTTCCAGTTCTCAGCTTGGAAGAGGCGTTGTCGTGTATTCCACCACCCATAACATATTCTCCGGACTGTACTAAATCGAAGATCACTACAAAGGTTAATGGTGACCCGCTGACAAGTGTACAACTATGGGGTGACTTTTTCGATAAAGTGAATCAATTCCGCTTCGACCAACAACCGATATTCGAGAGGCCAAAATTTGTGGTGAAAGAGATAGAAAATGAAGAGGATGTTCGAGGTGTTTTAGATTTCAATATTTGTCAGACATTGAATTATCTTTTGGGATCTGATCATAAATTTTCAAGACGTTCACCTGATACTCCTGGCATACCAGATTTTACCTGTCATCTCGTGGGTTCGTTGATCTTGGTGATTGAGGCAAAAAGAAAGCATGTTTTAGAAGATATGGGAGAACAGACATTTCCCGAGTTTTATAATACAAGTAAGGGCAAGGATGTGATTCAGCAAATCTATAATTATATGGAAGGAAACGAACTTAGATACGGTATTCTTACCACCTATGATAATCACTGGTTTCTATGCCGAGAACACACGAAGCTCTGGATCTCAAAAACCCTTTCACTGGAATCCGAATCTCTACCGGTACTCAAGGCATATGCTTATCTAACTCGACAGGTGAAAGAGAATTCCAATTCTCCTAAACCTCAAGTACTAGTGCCGGCTCAAGGGGATAATAATTCACGTACTCTTCAATCAAACTCAAAATCATCATCCAGCTCTTCATTAACTAATCAGGCTTCCAGCACCTTTTCAAATCAACAATCATCTTCTAACGTCCCAGTAAACCAGCAAAAGTTTAGCTTCGCAGACTTCAAGTTTAAGAGCATACTAGGTGAAGGACGAAGTGGAAAAACGCTCCTATGCGAATTTCGTGGCGAAATGATTGCTTTGAAGAGTGTAGACTTATCGAAGGCTCCATCGTATGTCCTGGAAGAAATGCAAAAGGAAGTTGAGATTTATAAAGATCTAGCTGATATTCAAGGCAAGTATATCCCAAAGCTGATCTGTTATGGATATTATGGAGGAGGTATGAGCTTCGTTATCGGCATGACCATTGTCGGCACTTCGTTGAGCGAGCAAAAAATAAAGAAACAGCAAAAGACGAGGCTATTAAGGGATTAGAAGCGATCTACAAGCATGGTATCTAGAGCTCTGAATCTAACCCGATAAGTCGGGTGACCCATCGGGTTGACCCATAATTTTCAGGTCAGGTCAGTACATTAGTAAGATATCATCAGGTCGGGTTAATGATTTGAATGACTCAGGTCAAATTCGGGTCACTATATAAATTTTATTTTATGGAAACTAAAATATCTGATATATACTTCTCAGCGTAATTGATTCATTAATTACGGTATTATATCCTGTCATATTAATTACGGTGACACAATTGAAATTATGGCTGATTATATGATTTTTAAAAAACTGAATATGGAGATCGATAAATTTTATCAATCTCATTTTATTTTTCTTCGGTAAAAATAATTTTATTTTTTTAAATTTAAAAAAAAATATTTTTTTATCGGTTATTTAAACAGAAATTATTTAAATTTTATTTATTTTCTTTTTTTAAAATAAACTTTTTTTCGGTTATTTAAACCGAAATTATTTAATTTTGAAATAATTTTTAAATTTATTTTTTTTCAGTAAGAATATTTTTACCTTTTTAATTTTTTATGAAGAGCGTTTACTAATGTTCTTTAATAACTTTTTTTTTGTAGATTTCGGACTGCAACTCAGTAGGTATGGCTTTAAAGGCGGGATATATTTCTTTTTTATATATAAGAACATTTATTAACGTTCTTTAACTTTCTTTTATAAGTTTTGGACTAGAACTTGGAATTAAAGACGAGATATTAGGTAAGGTTTTAAAGAGAGTGGGAGGGTGGGAGCGGGATTATTGTTTTTAATATATAAGAACGTTTCAGTTACTAATGTTCTTTAACTTTTTCTTGTAGATTTTGGACTGCAATTCGTGGGTGTAGTAAAGGGAGAGGAAGCAGGATATTGTTCTTTTTATATATAAGAACGTTTATCAACGTTCTTTATCTTTTCATTTGTAAATTTAGGATAGAGCTTGTGGAACTGGAAATTTGAATAAATATAGATCTCAACATTAAATATTTGACTATATTGTAATATAATACATTAATTAAAGTTGTAAAATTTAACTTAAATTTTAAATAAAAAATCAATAATAAATAAAGTGTGTATTAGTAAATTGCGTCAGATACGTTAGTATAAATAATTACGCCAGTATAAATCAATTACGTTAGTAAAATTAAATTAGTATAATCTGATAAATCATTTCAGTTAGCCAATTGAAAAGTTTTCTTAAAAAATAAAATTCCAGGTCTATTAGAAAATATAAAAAAAAAATTGGCTTTACTGCCTTTACATCTTTTGATAATTTATATTAAAATTAAAAATTGTTTTTCGTTATTTAATTATTATTTAAATTATAAAAAAAAGGAGTTTTTACCATGATCTGCTATATTTTACCAAATATATATAATAAGATGGATTATCAGATCCAAAATCTCTTTTTTATTTTAATACCATACGAAAATAAAATGTCTCAAAAAAACAATAATGAAGAATTTGAATTTAATCATCGTTCAAAACGAACTCGTTATATTAATATTACAGATGAAGAGGAAGAGCCTGAAGAAATACTTGATAATGAGAAAATCGGATTAGAAAACCATCAAGAAGGAGGGTCTCAGCTTGAAAATAAAGATGATACTTCAAGTGCCTTAAGTACATTAGACGAAAAAGATGAAAAAGGAAGTGTAGTATGGAAACATTTTGACAGATTTGTAGATAATAAAGGTACTTCATGGGCAAAATGTCGATATTGTGGGTAAGAAATGAATAAAGTTTTTAAAATATGAGATATACAAAATAAAGTCAAAATCACTGAAAAAAATATTTTTAAATTTGATAATTTGATAGAAACGGTAAATATAATATGGATAGTGGTTCAACAGGAAACTTACTCCGTCATCTTAATAAATTACATCTGAATAAAATTAATCCTTCTATTGCGCAACAAGCAGAAATTATAAAGAATTTTTTACAGTCTGCCAATAATGTAAAAATTGTGAGTATAAATTTTTTATGATTTTTTTAAGAATTATGTTAGAAAAAAAATTTTTCAATTTTACTAAAAACAAGATATTAATTTAATAAATTATAAATTTATTTATAGAAATTTTCTAATGAACTTTTTCGTGCAAAGCTTGTCGAATGGATTGCTACAGATGATCAGCTATTTACAGTTGTTGAATCACCTGAATTTCGCTATGTAATACAAATTTGTAATGCAGAAGCACAAATTCTAACGGCGGATACTATCAAAAATGATATCTTAAAACTGTATAAAAGTTACCATATTAATATACAAAATATATTACAGGTTAGTAAATAATTTATGTTTAAAGTTAAAATTAATATTTTTTAATAAAATTAACCTATTTTTAATTAAAGAATACTCCAGGAAAGATAAGCTTCGCTTTGGACGCATGGACTTCACCAAATGTCATTGGATTTCTCGGCATAACGGGTCATTATATTGACGCTGATTGGAATATTAAAGATATTCTTGTCGATTTTGTAAATCTTTCAGGTTCTCATTCGGGTGAAAATATGGCAAATATGTTCGTAACATGCCTTAAGGAAAAAAAAATATTAACTAAGGTTTGTACTTTGTAAACAAATTAATTATATATTAATAAAAGTCAGTAAACATAATAAATCTATTTATCATTAGATTCTTGCAATTGCAGCAGATAA